TAAAGATTTTATTTTAATTTAAAGTATATATATATATATATATATATATATATATATATATGTGAGGGTGCACATTAATATAGTACCCACAGAAGCCAGAAGAGGACATAAGATCCAATAGAGCTGTAGTTATAGGGGGTCATGAGGCACCCAATATGGGTGCTGAGAACTAAACAGTTCTTACCTGCTGAACCAGCTGTCCAGCCCCTTGTTTACATTTTTTTTTTTTTTTTTGGTTTTTCGAGACAGGGTTTCTCTGTGTAGCTTTGCGCCTTTCCTGGGACTCACTTGGTAGCCCAGGCTGGCCTCGAACTCACAGAGATCCGCCTGGCTCTGCCTCCCGAGTGCTGGGATTAAAGGCGTGCGTCACCACCGCCCGGCCCCCTTGTTTACATTTTTAAAAATTAGTTCTGGCTAGCTATGAACCACAATAATAACCAGCATGGCACAATGACCCCAAAGGTGCAGTAGTGATAGCCATACCTTAGAGGTAACCAAAACAAGTCTCTAATTGAACTACTCAACAAGAAGAAAATCATGCCTGGTACTGGAAACCTAACCAAACAACTACCCCAAGTCATAGATCTTAGATGAAAGCCTACAACCCCTACTTTACTAAGCTAGCATAATCCCTAACTACATTCTAAGTAATTTTCCTTATACCCACAGACAAGTGTAGTTCTCATCCCTCATCAAAGAAATTTCTCTTTGCAGCAGATAGAGACCATTACAGAAAACCACAAATCATTGTTCCGAGTTATGGAGCCCAGTCCCAATGAATACATCGATAAAACACCCCAACGCCTAACACTTGGGGATCATTGTGGACGAGGGAGTGGGAAGATTCTAAGAACCAGAGGTCCAGGGAGTTTACTGTGAGAGTGTGTCTCCTAATATTCTCCAAAGCTACACCACCATGACTACCTCAACAGGAGCTGATCAAAGACAACAGCAATATACATAGATGAGGGAAGAGTCCAAGAGACCTAAACCCTATACAAAGAACTAAAGCAACTGAGGGATGCTGAGTGGAGTCTTCCCTGGAGAAGAGCACACCAATTGGTTATCCAATACCAAATGGTCAGCCCTGAAAACATATGTACAAGTAACATTATACAGACTAAGCAGGCTATATTTAGGAAGATATATGTATATACAAATAATACATATATGCATGCAATAACAATGAATTTAAAGAGAGGTCCTGAATTTGAAAGAGAGCAAGGAGTAGTATATGGGAGGTTTTGAACAGAGGAAAAAGAAGAGGGAAATAATGTAATTATATTACCCCCAAAATAAAAATAATTTTAAAATTAAAAGAAATAAATAGTTCCGGCTAATAATCTCACTCATAACAGGAAAATCTTCCCGATACTGGATTTTGTTGATTTCCTTAGTGACTAAGCAGTTTCTTCAAAGATTTTTTTTTAATTTTTAAATGAGTGACTTGTGGTAGCACACATCTGTAATCTCAGCACTTGGGAGGTAGGGGCAGGAGCTCAAGGTCAACTTTTGCAACATAGTGAATTTGAGACCAGCTTGGGCTATCAGAGACCTTGAGTTGAAATTTTTAACAACCTCTCAGAGAAGAGATTGTGAACAGAGATTTTAAAAACATCCCCAACTGAGCTGGAGAGTTGGCTCAATGTTTAAGAGCACTTGCTGCTCTTGCAAAGGACCAGAGTTCAATCCCCAGCACCCACATGGCAGCTCATAACTGTCTGTAACTACAGACTGAAGAGGATCTGATGCCCTTTTCTGACCTTGGTGGGCACCAGGAACACACATGGTACACATACATGCATACAGGAAAAATTCTTATACATTTAAAATAATAAAATAACAAAAACAACTTCTCACAGTCTGGACACGCTTCTTTACCATAATCTGACAATCAGATATTAATTATTAGGCTTTCCCCCAATTCAATGATTTCTCCTGATAATATAGATTGAACAGCATTTTATAACTAATATTGATGTCCAAGAGCGGCCTACCATAAAACTGAAAATCAATTATAACTATAGCCTGAAACATGCACAGCATCTCTAGAGAGTGATATCATCTAAAAAGTGGACATTATAAACTAGTCTACATGTTTGTTAATTCATTGAGTCAAATATAAACTTTGTCATTTAGAGGTAGCGATTGTATGCTACAATTCTCCCAATGATTTAATGACCTCCTACTATGCCCACTCAAGGTCACAATCACCTCCCAGAGATAGCATCCTGAAAACCAACCCTTTAATGTGTGGACCTGTAGGAGACTCTTAGCCAAACCATAGCAAGTGTTGATGTTTTTATAGATAATTTATAAGTGTATAGGTATATAAATCCCATATATATAATTTTATGCATACAGTTTATAAGTATATACAAATACTTCTAAATCAACTGGAGAAAAACCCTACAATAACTTTGTAGACTTACTTCCAAAACCAAATAATAGATGCAGTGGTTTATTTATGCTCCAAAAAGAAAATAAAATTATGGTTTTTTGTTTGTTTGTTTCATTTTTTGAGACAGAGTTTCTCTGTGTAACAGCCCTGGCTATCCTATAACTCACTCTGTAGACCAGGCTGGCCTCAAACTCAGAGATCTACCTGCCTCTGCCTCCTGGGTGCTGGAATTAATGGTGTGTGCCACCACCGCCCAGCAAAATTATATATTTTTATAGGGCATTTATTCCTGGTAAAATTCTCCTCCTTCTTAATAGATAATAATAATCATTTTTAAGACAAGGTTTCATTTACCCAGGCTGCCCTCAAATTAACTATGTAGCTGAGTATGACCTTTAACTTGTGACCCTTCTGCCTCTACTTCCTGAGTGCTGAGATTTTAGGCATGTGCCACCATACCTGATTTTATGTAGTGCTGGGAACTAAACCCAATGTTGTGTGCATGCTAGGCAAGCACTCTCCCAACTGAGCTAAATCCCCAGCCCTAGATTACAATAATCTTAATCGTATGCTTATTAAGAGGAAAACCTGGCCATTAATCATAGAAACTACCAGATCTGGTTATTGTCTCAATGATTTGAGCAGTCATACCTGTTGGGCCAGTTAAATCTAAACTTACAAGTTCCTGTTTAGAAGGGAAAGGGGGAATTTTCTACATTTTTTTTTAAAGTTAATACACTAATGAGGAGAAACAAATGAAATCAGACTGAGCACACACATATCACCAAAGTGATGGATAAAACTTAGATGGCCACTAGATGCCAACTTTGATTACCTTCCCCAGTTCCATGTGACTTTAAATGTTAATTTTTACCTGTACAAAGAGTAGTGGGCTATTCTAATTTTACTAAGTTAATGGGTGTATTTTATTTCTCTGAGTTTAAGAAGGGAGCGTAAAGCTCAGGCTTACTACAAGCAATCTAGGAATGGCCCCTTTTGCTAACAGCTGAAATAGTCTTTTGCCTGCAGTTTTCCACTCTAAGTCCCTGTGCCTTGAGTTCTTTTTAAATTATGTGTACTTCAAGGAAGCATCTGTTATCACACAGGAAAGACCCCTCGCCAATTCCTTAGGAAACCTCAAGCAACTTTCATATGCCCCTTCCTCTTATCACATTTGATGTATTACTGACCACAAAATAATCCCTGCCAGATACCCAGCCCACTTATTTGGTGCATTGCCTCGGACGTTTTAGTAAATTTATTATGCTCAGGAGTATCCTGAGGTTCTTGTAATAGCTACAGTTTGTTTCAGAACACTGACTTCCTCATCACCTTGTGCAAGTCAACTGCTTAGCAGCAGTGGCCGAGCTATCTTCTCATCAAGGAATTCTACAGGAACAAACAGCCATGCTAAATTCTGTGAATACTAATCATGTTCAGAAATCCTAAATTCGAAAAGGTGACCCAATAGGCTAAAATTACACTCAAATATATGAGCATATATGTATGCTCCAGCAGTATAAAACAGTCTCCAGGGACAAAAAAAGAAAAAAGAAAACTCCCACAAAGGCAATGATCTGGCAAGTGAACCATAAAGCCCTCAGTACTCCCTAGGAACTACATTTTAAAGCATTGATCGTCACTGTAACTATTCAGTTGGTGTTAATGACCTTCACACTAGTGCTTTTTAAGTAAAGATTCCTATTTGGGGCTTTATATTAACAATTTTATCACCAGTTACTGCTGGTGACAACAAATGACAGACAAAAGGCTTAACAAGCAGTCTTTCTCCAAGCTTCAAGGAAAGCACAAAACAAAAACAGCACCTGCTGCGAACCATCCCTTCCTCCTTTCCAGGTACGGGGCAGGCAGAAAGAAGCTATGACACCCTTTGTTTCATAACTCCACGTCAAAGTCAAGGAACAATAAAATAGGAAACTACAGCTGTAGACTTCTAAGTCCACCCCTGGACCCAAATGGGGAACTTAACTTTGGACTTGACCAATGCTCTTTTCTTGCAGCCCCGAGTCCCTGTTCTACAACTGGGCATTAAGATTTTTCCAGTTTCATACTAATAATCAGAAATACGTTAGTGAACAAATGTATGTAGCAGATACATATCACAAATATAAAGAGAGGACAACATGTAGTCCTAGGCCAAGAGCCATACAGACACACACGTACACACCCTTCAAGTTCAAATCCCAGCAAGGCACCCTGAGTGTGCAGTCAACAAAGGGAGGGGCAGGAGCAAGGAACAGAGGTTAAAGCAGACAGGAGCCAAAACAAACATCACTTCCAGAACAGGGCAAACTTTGGGTCTGGGAGGCTGTAGAACCCCCAGGAACGACAGGGGCGTTAGAGTCTCTCAAGGGACGAAGGGAGCACCCAAGCACTGGGCGAGGAGGAGATGAGCTGCAGAGGAGGCTGGTGTCCCTGGGGACAAGGGCGTCGCCGCCATCCTCGGCTGCACAGCCCCCCCTTTTTTGCCGCCCTGACCGCCGCCCTCCAGATCCCCAGGAATAGTCGTTGTCGCCCCATTCTTCCACAGACACTGTCCCCACAGACCCGCGAGGGATAAAAGAGCGCAGAGACATACCTGGTGCAACGTCTCCGGTGGCAGCTGCGACGCTCGGAACAGATCGGCCACTGGACCGGCGGCCGCAGTGGCAGTGCCGGGGGCGACCCTGGTAGCCTCGGGAGGTCCAGGTCCCGGGCCCCCGCTTGCAGCGCCTGCACAGCGCGCAAAGAGCTCAGAGTAGCACTGCTGCTCGCTATCGCTCAGCAGCAACGGCGGGGCCGCGCCGCAGCCTCCACCCGCAGCCACCTCCATAGGGCCTTCTGTGGGGTCCCGGCCGAGCGCTTTCCCCAGTCGAGGTGCCGGTGTCTCCGCCAGGGCCACCACCACCGCCTCGGCCTCCGAAGCCGCCGCCCCCACGCCCCGCAGCTGCAGCGCCGCCGCTTCCTCCAAGCGCGCGCCAGCCCCGCCCCCCGGGCTTGAATGTTGTGCCTCGGCTGCGCGGCACATGGAGACAGGCGCGGCGCCGACCAATCAGAGCCCGGGACCCCACCTGGGCCCCACCCCTGATGGCCGCCTCGCCCCGCCCCTTGGCCAGGTAAGGAGTACAACTCAGGCAGCTGCCCTCCCAAGCCTTTCACCTGCTCCGAGGGGAGGCCAGACCCGGAGTTGAGTGGCTGCCAAAGCCACTCCAAGTCCACACAGCTCCTGAGGGGTATCTCGGGCTCTCCACCCTGGCTGGCAAGGGAACATCTGGACACACACACACAAGAACAAGAGGGCTTTTCAGGGGATGGGGTAAACTGAGATGTTTTCTCTTTTGGAGTCCGGAACAGAAGTGGTGTCCACTTAGAAAAGGGACCAGGCACGAAAAGTTGGGTTTCTCTTCCTCTATAATAGTATCGCCTGTGTCCTAAAAAGCTAAATAACAGAGATGTTCTTACGAATGAGGTCCCAGCGCCTCTCCACAACTTTGAAGATGGTGATAGGGTTAGGCCACTTTCTCAGGTATGGCTCAGATCTGGATTTGAGCCTTACTAAGAAATGCCAGAAGTTACTCTTAAATCCTAGAGGAAAGGGAGGGGGGTGCTCGTTTTGCAGATGTGAGGTCCATTCTGCTCAGTGCTCTACTGAAATCTGGGAAACAGTTGCGAGGCACTATGTGGAAAATGTATGCTTATTAAGTCCTGAAAGTACTGACCTCTGTAACACAGAGTCCGCGCCTTCTGGAAAGATGTTTTTTTGTTTGTTTGTTTGTTTTTTCAGACAAGCTCTTTCCTTAAGACATCTGGCTCTGAAATACTTCTTTTGGCAGGAAAACAAGCACATTTTTAATACAAAAGTTTTCAAGTTCCTACCAAAAAAGTTAACACTAGAACCCAGAACTTTACAAAGCCCATGTGTTGTTTTTTTTTTTTTCAAATGGGCTTCCTCCCCTAGGGCTATTGCTCTCTAGTCAAGCCTCTATGAAGAGAAAGTCTATGCTAAGTGTGGTGGCTGCTGCTTCACTAAGAGGCTGGGGCGGGAGAATCCCTGAAATTTTGAACTCTAGGTTACATGGTGAGTTCCAAGCAAGTCTGCAAAAAGAAAAAAATGTCTGCAAAATAATCTACTAGAAGAAAAAGGTCTGCCCCACAACAACACTGCAAAATTCAGCATCAGTATTGTATAGCTGCATTTTTTCCGAAAGAAAAATCTCTGTTCTTGAGACAGGATCTCTCTCTACATAGCCCTGGCTGTCTTGGAACTCACTGTGCAGACCAGGCTGGCCTCAAATTCACAGAGATCTCCCTGTATGCCTCCCAAGTGCTAGGATAAAGGCATGTGCCACCATGCTGGGCTCCAAAAGAAAAATCTTAAGTGCCGTTGTTCTTGAAAAGAGTTGCACAAATGTACCCATTATACATACATGCCTCACTGCAAAACACTAACCCAAAAAGAGGAAAACTGTTCATGGTTAAACACTAATAAAAGGGCATGTTAGAGCTTGAACTGGTGGCACACACCTTCTTAAACCCAGAACTCAAGAGGCAGAGGCAGACAGATCTCTGTGAGTTTGAGACCAGCCTGACTACATACTACATAGTGAGTTTCATGGCAGCTAGTGCTACATAGTGAGACACTGTCTTAAGAAAAATACATGGAGAGAGAGAAATATATATATATATATATGTGTGTGTGTGTGTGTGTGTGTGTGTGTTGTACATATAGTTTTATTTATATACATACATATATATATATATATATATATATATATATATATATATAGAGAGAGAGAGAGAGAGAGAGAGAGAGAGAGAGAGAGAGGATTATTCCATCCCAAATAGTTTGATTTTAATTAAAACATGAAGCAGCCAGATGTGGCACATGCCTGGAATTCTGGCACTCCAGAGGCAGTGGCAAGACCCACTGTCAAGAACAGTAACAACGCCAGGTGGTGGTGGTGCACGCCTTTAATCCCAGCACTTGGGAGACAGAGGCAGGTGGATCTCTGTGAGTTCGAGGCCAGCCTGGGCTACAGTGTGAGTTCCAGAAAAGGCGCAAAGCTACACAGAGAAACCCTGTCTCAAAAAACAAAAAAAAAAAAAAGAAAGAAAGAAAGAGAAAAAGAACAGTAGCAACACACAAAAAAAGCAAAAACCAAAGACAACACGAGAAATACTATCAATGATAACAAATACACTTTGATATTATAGTCATCTAAAATAAGGACCAATGGAAGGAAGAAGGGGGGAAGAGGGGGAGAAGAGGGAAGAAGTCACGAGATGGGGAAAACTAAAAAAGGAAAGGGGAAGAAAGAGATGCGTGGAAGAAAAAAGAAATGTGTTAACCTCAATGATGGCCAGAGTTATACTTCCCTTTTGGACTCTGGAGAAATCAAATACAGAAGACCCATGGTGGGGATATGACTCAGTAGCGGAGCATTTGCCTTGCATGCACCAAGCACAAGTATAGCCTCCAGTACCAAGTACCAGAGAAGGAAAAGTACAGAAGATTCAGCCCAAACACATTAGCAGCTAAGTGAGGCAGTGAACTTTTAGACAATCTCTTATGTAATATGCCTTCAAGATGTCCTGTCATTTTTTTTTCTTTTCAGGTTTCATGAAACGTCAACATGAAATCTGAACATGCACAGAGGCATTCCTGTTATCTTTATAATGCAAACTGAGCAAGTCCACAAGTGCTGTCTGCCTTTTGTAGCTTTTTGAAAACTGGCTAAATGACATTGAGCTAAGTATACCCAGAAATGTGTCTCTTCTTCTCCTTGGACTAGCACCTTTTACTGAGCATGCTCAGGAATGTGCCCACCCTTAAAGGGCTTTCCCATGTGCATATGTGTCTGCTCCCAGAATAAAATGCCCATGCTTCCTTTGTTCACAGAAGGTCTTGCTTTCACCATAACTCCCAGGCTCTCCTTACCTGGTACAGTTATTAACATTTGGCCACTCATATGTCCTGCCCTGCCCTTGTTGTCTTAGCCTTGCACTCCCCAAGAGGTGAACCCAGGTTTGGTTACAAAGGCAGAAAGTTCTCTCTTCAAAGCTTTGATTCCTTATTCCACATTTTGCTTCATAACTGCTGGGAGGGGAGATGGCATCAATACAGAAAGAATGAAGTAGAGAGACAGCAGAGACCGTCCAGCTATAGAGAATTTCTACTCCAAAATCCCATCACACTTTCCATGACTGTTGGACCTTCTCAGGAACATGGGAGCCAAGAGATAGGTAATTCTCTTCCTACGTTTCCAATTGTTCTTAGCTTTCCTGGAGAGTAGCTCTGTAACAGAGTAGTCCACTCTATGTGATAGGAAACAAACCCCATTTCCCCCAGGGACTCCTATAAAAACAAATATAGGTTATCATATCCCCTGACAGGCGAGATAAAAAAGCTTTACGTGATATTTTTGTGCACACTATCTCATATGAACCTCACCGTAACTCTAAGGTAGATTAGGGAGATAGATAGATAGATAGATAGATAGATAGATAGATAGATAGACAGATAGATAGATAGATAGATAGCGCCGGGCGGTGGTGGTGCACACCTTTAATCCCAGCACTCAGGAGGCAGAGCCAGGCGGATCTCTGTGAGTTCAAGGCCAGCCTGGGCTACCGTGAGTTCCAGGAGAAGCTCAAAGCTACACAGAGAAATCCTGTCTCGAAAAACCAATAAAAAAAGATAGATACATAGATAGATAGATAGATAGATAGATAGATACATACATACATACATACATACATACATACATACATGTTATTTGTTTGTTTGTTTGTTTGTTTGTTTTAGACAGGGTCTCATGCAGCACAGGCTGGCCTTGAACTCCTGATCCTCCTGTCTCCACCTGCTCAGTTCTGGGATTACAGGCATGCAATACCACATCCAGGCAGGAAGACATTTTCTTGAGATGAAAGGTTTCACTTTGTAGACCAGGCTGACCTCAAGTTTGTGATCCTCCTGCCCCTACCTCTCAAATGCTAGGATTACAGGTATGTGCCACTGTAGTGGTTTGAATAAGACAGGCCTCCCATAGGCTCACATATTTAAACACTTGGCTTCCTGTTGGTGGCACTATTTGGAGAGGTTTAGGAGGTGCGGCCTTGCGGGAGGAGGTATATCACTGGGGACAGACTTTGAGAGTTTAGAGCTGCACGTCACCTCTAGTTCACTATCTACTTCATGTTTGTGGTTGAAGTTGTGAGCCCTCAGCTTCCGGCTCCTACTGCCTTGCCTGCCATTTGCTTCCATGCCTCCCTGCCATGATGAACTCTTATCCCCCTAGAACTGTCAGTCAAAATAAACTCTTTCCTTGGTAAGCTGCTTTGGGCCATGGTATTTTTATAACAGCTACAGAGAAATAACTAATACAGTCACTATGACCAGCAAGAAGAGGTTTTTAGCTTCATTTTACAGATTTAAAAAAAACAGTGAATGTAAAGCTGGTATGATTTGCCCAATTGGTTACCACATTTGGAGTTCATTTCCTTCATTATTGAAGCCAATTTAATAAAGCTGACAAATATTTATCAAGCAGCGGATACTGCATATGTCGGCAGTCTCACATCTGTGCCTATCAATCTATGAGTGAAACAATCAGTAATTTTTTAAGATTTATTTATATATGCATATGAGTGCTCTATTTGCATATTCTAGATGACAGAACAGGGCCTCAGAACCCCATTATAGATGATACGTATGCCTGCAGGCCAGAAGAGAGCACCAGGTCTCATTACAGATGGTTGTGAGCTACCATGTAGTTGCTGGGAATTGAACTCAGGACCTCTGGAAGAGCAGCCAGTGCTCTTAACCGCTGAGCCATCTCTCCAGCCCCAACAATCAGTATTTATTGGTAGGGCAGGAAGTGTGTGTACTGGAATGCTTCAAGGAATTAAAAAAAAATACAAGATACGTTGCTTTCAAGAAGTCAACAACCTCACTAGAAAAGGCAAAAACTAGCACAA